ATGCCATTTATAACAAATATGATAAAGCAGATACAAAGCTTTCTAGACATGGAAAAAACAAAAGAGCATTACAAGAGCCATGGAAAAACTGCATAAATACAGCTCTATTCACCAAAATCCATAGATCGAGGAAAGAAAGAAATGCATCAAAAATCAATTTACTAATCTAGTAAATTATCATATCTATAGAAGTATTCAATCAATCACAACTTCTTTATCACTTACTAGAAATTTTATTTAGCACTAGTCCAGCCTTGGCAGGTTAGTTTCCCTTATAGGGTGGCAACAAGCCATAAGATAGGTTAACTTCTTATCGAGCTTTATTTAATAAACAAAAGTAGCTACAACATAGACATACAGTATATAATTTTCTACTAAATTCAAATAAAACAAGGCTGAGCCAGCATTTAAAAAAAAAATGAAATAAACATATATTTTTTAGCTGTATATTATATGCAACCATGTTATATATTGAATTCCACCGAGTTTCTTCATTTAAAATAGGTTTTAAAGTTTATATTTACTGATTTTTGCAAGCATTATTTAATTTTTCTAGCCAGTATGGTAAAATAATATTTTTACAATCAGTTTTTATAACTATATATAAATAAATTTGTAAATATTTTTTTTTTCCTGGCAAAGTCTTGCCATTGAGTTTTTATTTATTCATTAATACAGTCTTATGTACGCAAATTTAATTGCGAGTTTATACATTTATGAAAAGAAAAAAATACTATGACTCAGTATTCTAGTAAACTAGAAACCCTGTGACTTGCTGCAGTCCATTGGTGTAGATGCTAGCATGTCAAGACTCCACAGCACTAATATTGATAGAAAAGAAAAAATAAGGAAAGTAACTGTTTTTTAAAGTATTCTCTGTTATAATATTTGTTAGTTCTATGTATACATTTGTGAAGTTATTCTTCATATACTGTTCATAGTTGATTTGGGTTCCTGCTTCTTCCTGCTCTATGTCCTCTTTCCAGAATCTTGTCATTCGTGTTTCTGATGATTCTGGTATTGGTGTTAATATTGATAGATTCTGCGTTGATCTTTCTTTTCTGGGTGGGTGTTTCCCTTTGAATTTTTTTGTGATACCTCGATCCTTTTCCCACTGGACTGTGATGTCACACCGGAGTTTCCAGATGTCTTGTTTTACTTTCCAGAATTTCTGTGTTGCGGCTTTAATAGCTTCTATCGCTAGGGTTCTGTCTTTGATAATGGATTCTGTGAGCTGTATCATGCTATGGGTTATCACCCCTCTGATCAGATCTTGAAATTCATTCTTGTGCCAGTGTTGGAGATTGTCCTTGTATTCTTTTAAGAAATGTGCTCGTTTCCATTTGTTTTGTATCTTTTCTCTTTGTTTATCTTTTGCGCGTGCTGCACACTCTTCTGTAAGTGATTGGATGAATCCTTGTTTTAGTCTTTCTATTGCCATCCCACATTGAAACATGTGGTTGTTGGATTCTGTATGTTGGTTATATGTTTTGCATAGTTCATTAGTGTAAATGTCTGGGTGTCTAAGTCTCAATTTGTCCATAGTGGGGAGCTCTCCTAAGAATGTTTTCACTCTGAATGACTGGATGGAATGGTCTTGGAAGTTGGTAGTTGTTTATGTAATTGGTGATAGCATTGATGATTCGAAAGTTAGTGGCCAATAGATTTCTTTTGCCTTTTCTTTGTTCAGCCAGTCTTGATTTCTGCGCAGAGTTCTCCACTTGCTGGCCCACTTATTTTTGATTATGTTTTTGATCAAGCTTTTCGTTGACATATCATAGTGTTTATGGTCCCATTTTGTTATAATTCTATTTGCGATGGTTGTCAGCACATTTGCTTCGATTTTGTGCTTGTCCTTGTCCATTAAGCTGGTGGATGCCAGCTTGTCTGCTTCCTCATTGCCTTCTATTCCGGAGTGACCTTTAACTTTGACCCAGGTTACTTTCAGGTTTTTACTTGCAATTATGTCCTTGATGATGTGGATTAGTATTTTGTTTGCGTGATGGTTGGTTTTTTCTTTATATACTTTCTGTTTAGGACATTGATTGCTATTTGACTATTTGTGAGGATAGTAATCGATTTATTCGTGTCAATAGTGTATATGGCTGATAGGATTGCGATCAGTTCTGTTCAGGTTGAAGATGGTGTGTCTTGTGTTTCTGCTTGGAATTCTGCCAGTTTTATTCCTAATGTCGAGTATACCACCTATCCTAGTCCCATCCTGCTTCTTTCTGGGTGTCTAGAGAAAGATCCGTCTGTGTAAATGTTCAGTTGTCCTGATTTCTAATTATAGTTGCGATTTACGTTAAGTTATTAAGGATTGTTTGGTTTCCTGATAAGTATTTGTGAATTATTGCATTTGTATTTGACTGGTGATAAAGATGGTTTATCAGCGTGGAGCTAGAACTAGTATATGATAGGGAATTTATTGTATCGATTTCATTTAATGCCTTCCTGATTCCTTGAGGGGTAGAGCGTAGTCTGTTGTCTATTTCCTGGGTTGTTGTTCTAGCTCTATTACAAGGTGTTGCTGATATTGTGCTGTTATCTACATGGATGTTGACTGTTCTGACCAAGAGTAGTTCAGCAATGCACTGTCTTTGGTCTTGATATTTTTCTCTTATTTGTTGATTGTTTTTGTGACATTCTTGACATTTGTAAAGTGGTGATAATAATGGGTCTGATATCATATGATTTGCAATAATGTTGTTATTATCTAGCTATCTTTTTTTCTTTATTATTAATACCTCATTGTTACTTTTAGTTGCTAACTACTTGATTAATGATCGATTCTGGGCTGGGAGAACTGATGTATTACTCCAGAAAGTGTTGTTAGTGTCACTGTATGGAGATCCTTCAAGATTGTTATATGAATTCATATTGGGATCCTTGCAGATGACATGTTTAAGATCCTGGAACCATTTGGGAGTTCTTTCTTGTCGTTCTTTTTTTGTTCTTAGTTATTGTCATGTGAGAGGTCTTGTGAGAGTGTCATTAATGAGCTGTTTTTTGAAGAGGATTCCTCGTTTTCTAAGAGAGTTTCTGTTTTGATTGTAACATTCTTCAGAGGTGATTTCTCTAATCGGTGTTCTGCCGCCCGTTAGTGGACTGCCTATTGCTATATGGCTTGTATTCGTGAAAGTGACCTTATGTATCTTTAGAATATTGAGAATATCATTTGTTAGACTTTCTCTTTTCTTTATCCAGAAGGAAAACTTGTCTTCCAGTATTGATGTGTTGGATCAATATTTGTTCTGGAGTTGTTGAAGTCTGATCCAAGTTGTTGTGCTGCAGGTATCATGGTTGTTCATTCTGTTGGTCCAGTTTATGCTGTGGTGAAGTAGTTGTCTGTCCCAGAGATTAAAGAGTTTGTAGCCGAAGTCGACATGTATTATTGCGTTAGATGTGATGGATGAGAGGTTTGCTTTGTGCTTAAAAACTTTGTTAATTCTGCTCTTATTTTGTTGCATTCAGTTTCGGTTAGCACCATGTCATTGAGTAAGTATTCCAGTACTGGGAATAGTATGTAATTGATTATATGACAACATTGTTTGTCTGATATTTTCTTCCAACACATGATGTTTGTATATTTTGAGACTTTCTCTACTATCAGTTGTTTCTGGTACCTCTTTTTTCCATCCTCCAAGATCCATACTCCTAGTATACGTGTTGTTTCATCTTTTTTGAGAGGTGTCACATTGGTTCCTCCCAGGGTTACTCCTTTGTTACAGTCCATTTTACTTGCATTGATGTAGATTAGTGATGATTTACTTCTATTGGCTTGTATGTTGTTAATTTTCGGAAATTCTGAAGCTGTGTCGAGGATGTCTTGTAGGCTATTTCTGTCTGAGGCATACCAAGTTGTGTCATCCATGTATGCTGTGGCTATCACCATTTGTGATTTTATTAATTTAGATGTTGTATTGTTACTAGGCATTGTTGGAAGGTGTGTGATCCATGTTACTTTCATTTCATATTCTTTTTTCTTTTCCTCTATTTCCTATAGTAGCAGATCATAAAAAATTCTCCATAATAATAGAGAGATAGTATCACCCTGGTTGATTCCATCGTGTACTGGGTAGTTGTCTGTGGGGTCGTGTGCTGTAATAACTCTATTGGACCTGTTAGTAATTGTGTTTTTGATGATGTTGATGATCTGTTCAGGAATTCTAATTTGTCACATTGTGAGTATCAACATGTTCTTATTGATTGAATCATATGCATTACTAATGTCTTGACTAAAGATCCATGCTTCTTTTCCCAGTTCCCTGGCTTCTTCTAAGATGTTATTCATTATGTGGATAGGTTGTTACATGCTATCTTCAGGAAGACCTGCCCAGTTGTTCTGAGATGTGATGTGATGTCTGTTTAAGGTCTCTACCAGGCGATTGTTTATAATTGACATGAATACTTTCCTTGTTGTTTCCAGTAGTGTAATTGGTCTTATTATGTTAATGTTACCTATCCATTCTTTTGGTTTTGGGATTGAGTACACTTCCCCTTGTTTCCATTCAGTTGATATCTTGCCTGTTTCTAGGATTAAGTTAAAGAGCTTCTTGAGAAGCTGTTGCCCTGCAGGGCCGAGGTTCTTGAGCATTATGTAAGGGATTTTTGTGGGTCCCGGGGCACTGTGGGTATTTTTTGTTCTGATCGTTTCCTGAATCTCCTGAATATCTATTGGGTTTGTGCATTGTTGGTACCATTCTGGTCTGATACTTTCTATAGGGCTATATCTCTTACGCCAATTTGAAAAATCTTGAATATTTAATATGTTGCGTGGTCTTGTCCATTGCTAGAAGTGTTTTCTGATTTTGGTTTTGATTTGACTGGGGACTGTGATTATTTTTATTTCATCAGTCTCTTTTTGTTTGACGAGCCTTGTAGTATCAATTTTACTCACAGGTCTTTCCAGTATGCTATTAATCATTTTCTTAGGCTGGTCTTGGAGATGTTGAAAGCATTTCTCTATTTGGGTGGCAATTGCTTTTGTTTTTTTTATCTTAATAATGGCCTGTGCTGTGCGGAATTCTTCCTTCCAAATATTTTGAAGCTCCTTGAGCCACTGATACTTTTTCAGTCTGAGGTCTTGTTGATTGTCTTCATCTGCTGGGGGTTTCTTTATTCTTATTGTGTTTTTGTTGATGGCTTTTATCAGGTTTGCTATTTTCTTATCCATTTCACCATCTGTTGTATTCCCTTGAAGGTACTTTTTGTATGTTCTGTATAGCTTGCCTAAGAGCAGCGATTGATTCATCACTTCCTTGTATTTCGATATATTAATTGTGGTGATGTTCCTACTACTTTTCTTCTTCTTTAAGTGCTTTTTACTTGTGGTCAGGAACAGGTTTTTCAATTTATTCCAGATTTCTTGCACATTTCATATTTTGTTCTTAACTATTACTACTGCTTGTGTTTCTACTGATTGCTTGAATTTGGTCTAGTGAGATGCTATTGAGTTTTTGTAATCTATAATGTTATTTCTTTGATTTTTCCCATTTGTGATTTTGTTCCATGAGTCATGTGGTGTGCTCATGATAAGTGATACCATTTTGGGATCAGTTAGAATTACTGAGGTCATGGGCATATACGTGGCATCGATGATATGATATAACAGTGAATCTGACACCCATATATAGTCTATTCTGCTACTGTATTCTTTTGTGCTTCTCATATATGTGAAACTTTTTGTGAATGGATTTAAGCATCTGAAGGTGTCTGTGAAGTTGTAGATGATGAGTGTATCTATAATTTCCTTTTTATTTTTTCCAGTTTTCTTTTTAATTGTCGTTCTATTCATCCTTTGGTCCTTTACTTCGTTTAGGTCTCCCAAGACTATGATGAACATGTTTTTGTTTGATGCTTTTTAGATGATCTGACTTAGCCATGAATTAAGAGCCTGTTTATCATTCATTTTTGTTGGGTTAGTTAAGCTATAGATTGATATGATTCTGTATTTGATCTTCCCCTTAAATGTAAGATTGATGAAGATACCCACGTTCTTCCAAGAATTAGAGTGATATATGTGTGTGGCCCAGTGTTGCTTTACTAGTATTCCTACTCCTGAGCCATACTGTCGATTGGGGTCTCGAGTTGTCCAAATCTTATATTTGTTATCTAAATCCATCCATCTGTGATTATGTGTAAGCCAGGTTTCTGTAATACGGATGAAGTCGTAATTTTCTTCATGTGCATAACTCAAGAGAGAGATTTGGTTGCTTTCTTTGTTGATACCTTTTATGTTTAAAGTACCAATTTTCCATGTGTTGTAGTTTGTGTTGGGAGCAGTTGGTATGTTTGTTAGATTAGATGAAATTGTTGGAGATGGTAATGATTTTTTCTTTGTAATGGTTCTCCTTCTGTGTGAGGATGATTCTTCTTTTTGTGCTGTCATTATTATTGGGAAGTGATAGGTTAGGACGTTCCTGTCTATAGAGTGAGTTTAAAAAGATTTATAGCTTCTTCCATAGTAGCGCTCATTTTGTTGAGTTGTTGTTTGTATACTTCCTGTGACATGCGAATATCTTGTAGCTGAGATATTGAGGGGGGTATCTATTTATCACTTTCTATCATTGATTGCTCTTCCATGTCTTCCATTAATTCATCAACTGTTTCTGGGTACCTGTTGGCACATTCTTCCTCGAGGGCTTCTACTTTGTTATCTAGTACTTTGAATGCCTTCTTCAGTTTGTGGACTTCTTCTTGTAACTTATTGATTATGATCCAGATGTCATTGGTTTGAATTTCTTTTCTTGTTTGTTATCTATTCTTGAGAACATTTGCGTAACTCTTAGGATTGTTATCCTGTCTATATGATTTTTCATTCTTGGATGGGCTTGTCATCCTGTAGTTGTAAAATGGGAGGAATCTCGGATTATTGGCCCTGTTCATGTACTGTCTTTGGGGGGGAAACTTTGATTTGTCAGGGCAGAGATGAGGATTGTGTGACAGTGAGCTGCAATAGTAGCAGAGTTTAGTTTCTCTGTCTACCCATTTTGTTTGGTAATCTTTTAAAGTGGAAGCTGTGGATATTGCTGCTTGTAAGTCTACTTGTGTTTCAAAAGTGAACACTGTGAATCTCTTGACCTTGTTTTCATTATCTCTTGGCATATAACATGATTTTGCTTTGGTACTGGTGATGGTTATTGCCAGGTCTGCCGCTGTGGAGTCTAGTTGTAGCATTGTAAGTGTTGCGCTGAAACGCTCTCTTTCTTGTTTGGTCTCATGCGTTCTGTAGTATGGAAAAGTTTTGCATAAGTAATACCCTTTGCTGATCGACCATTCCTTGATGATTTCTACATAGTCCGATATGTTGGAAAAGGTTATGCATGCTGTTTGACCTGGGCCCGATCTTTGCAGGATGATATAATTGATCCCGATTTGATTGTCGAAGAATTCTGCTAGGTCGGTTTTGATGAAATGTTGAGGAATGTCCCAAACTCTAATCATGTGTGAGTTACTTTCTTGGGATCCCAATGAGACGATCTTCCTAAATTTGGCATTCTCATTCTCAGTAAGGTTGATCTCACATGCTATCTGTGCCTCATCTTGATTGTCGAACACCGCCACTACCTGTGGGTAACCAGTTGGGAATTTATATTGTACGTGTTTGAGGGAGTTGAGATGTGCCATTTTTTGTCTGATGAAAAGAAATTTTTCTTCGAATGTTTCTTCTGGAACAAGTTCTGGATCGATGAAGACCTTTTCTGGCCTAAGCGTTTTGACATAAGTTTGTCTGTTTGTGGGAGAGGAAGAGAGAGTTCTGCTTCTTTGATCTGTTAGGTTTTCATAATTAAAGTTTGCGTGATCAGTGATATTACTATGAAGTTGCAGTCTATTGAGAGGGCCTGTTCTGCGCTTTTAATGGATGTTTCTCTTGTTGGAGAGGGTGGTCTGAAGTTTAATGGAGTCACAGTTGCTTCAGTTATTTAGGAGTCACCTTCTTCTTTTTCCTTTGTAGGTTCAGGTTCAATAGCTTTGTTCTTCCCTTTGTCAGGAATTTTCTTAGCCAGGAGTCTAGTGTTGAGAGGTGTATGCCTAATTTGTGAGCCTGGTATTGTAACTTTCGATTTGAGGGTTCTGCTGTTGTTTCTGGACATGTTTATTTTGTTGTAGTCCGGTGTTGTTTGTCTTCCTTCAAGTCTGGAGCTGTGTCTAAGGGACATTTTTATAGGTCGTTCTTTGAAGAATGGGGACAAGTTTTGGTTTACTTTGATAATTATCAAAAAAGGAAATTTTTTCCGATTTTGAGATTTTCGGGAAAGAGTTTTTTTTTTGAGCTCTTAAATAAATTAGTAAATATAAAAAGCAATATACTGTATATACTATATAAACTTACTTATTTTAGATTTTCGCCTAATATATTTAAAACTTCTTGTATACTTAAATTAATAATATTCATAAAATATTGTAAATAGTTTTATATTGCACTATTATCAGTACTAATTTTTATTATCTTTAAAATTAAATAAATTGTTTTAGTCTTATATTATATTTATTTTAATATATAAATAAATAAACTTCTTTAAACATGATAAAAATACTTTTTTAATATTATCATGGATCATGAGAATCATGTAAATAATGTAATTTATGATAACAATTTAGAATTCAAAAACCTGAAAGTCTGACATGAAAGATTGAGTGTTGCAAGATAAAAAACTATATATTAAGTCTTAGGTACTAATAAGGAAACTATGTGTATCTGACAAAGTATAGAAAGTTTAGTAAAGTTTAGAATTAGCATAGCTAATTATAAAGTAGATAGTCCATTGTTAGTTAGAAAAGTATAAATAGTTGACTAGTGTAAGCCAAGAAGATAGTACTAAATGTATTAAGAAAAACAGTCCTTATTGTGAATAGAGATAAGAGTTAGTGATATACAAAAGAAACAAAATATGAATAAAGAGACACTTATTCTTAGTCAAGTCAATTACTATATTTCTGTCTTTCCTAAGTGTACTTTACAAAAGGCGTTCTCTTCTTTGTATCAGTTGTAAGTATTTGTAAGTAATTTGGATTGCACAAAGTACTATGGATTAGTAATAGATTCACTAGATTAGCTCACAACAATACTTTTACTTGAATAGATATACAACAGCTTTATAAAGTCTATTATTATACTCTGCATTCTTCAATCTTTATCAATAAAATAGACAGTTATATCTAAAAATACTTTCGTTGAAACTGTTACCCAAATATCAAGTGTAAATGAAATACAACTTTCTATTTTTAGTAACATTTTTTGAATTTTTTCTTGATCATTTAAATAATAGTCCATTATATAGATCTTAATAGAAGTAACTAATAGTATTTTTGTATCTGGTACTAATGTTTCTATGAAAGCAAGAAAAGCTGATTTATAATGATCAATTGAACAAGTTTTTTTTTATTTTTGTTGAGTTATATATTTACTATATATAAATACAACAAAAAAACTCTTTTCTGAAAATTTTCAAAATCATAAAAATTTCCTTATTAGGCAAAAACACAAAAACCCATCCCCAGCTACAAAGTAGCAACCTTGAAATAACCTCCAACAAGCAAATGAGAAGTTTAGGAAGACAAACAACACCCGAATATAACATTGAAAAGATTAGCAAGAACAATGACAGGGTCTTGAAGGTCAAAGCAACACACCGACTTTCCAACTCAGACATACCCCACTTGGAACAAGAACAGCATCTTCAAAAAAGATGGTAGATAAAGGGAAGGGCCGAGAAATCACAACTGAACTGACAGAAGAGATGGAGATAAAGTAAAAAGAAGCGACCATAGAAGAGAAAAAGGAACAAAGCGGGCAGCCTACGAAACCATTGGAAGACAGCAGAGCAAGCTCCCCACCACAGTTCAGGAGTCAGAAGAGAGAGACAGCCCAAGTCAACTGCAGCAAGGTGAACAGATGAACATAATCAATCAGGCTGGCTTCAGTTACGTCAACCAAGAAGAAACAAATAGAAGAAAAAATAATACAACAGAACTCCAGCAGCAAGAGACACTCATGCCCGGAAAAGCTTACATTAACCCAAAACAGGTACCAGGACAAACTCCCAGGGAAAAAATAGACTTCATCAAGCATAAAATAAACAACTCCCCTTCCTGAAATATGTGAGATACGAATATTCAATCGGAAGCCCACAGATCACTACTATTTTTAGTAACTATAAATATGCACAGAGA